GTGTGTGTGTGTGTGTGTGTGTGTGTGTGTGTGTGTGTGTGTGTGTGTGTGTGTGTTGGTATGTTTAGATGCCTTTGTGGGTACTGGCCAGAGGTTTGAAATCACTTGGAGTAGGAATTATAGGGCTATAGGAACTGGACTTGGATACTGGGAATTGAACTTAGTTCTTCTGCAAGAACAATATGTGCTCTTAACTACTGTGCTCTCTCTCTAGGTCACATTGCTCTCTTTTGGTTTTTCTAAACAGGGCTTCTCTGTGTACCAGCCCTAGCTGTCCTAGAACTCACTTTGTACACCAAGCTGTCCTCCAGCTCAGAAATCTACCTACCTTAAAAGTGTTGGGATTAAATGCATGCGCCTCTGCCACCTGGCAAAATTTTGCTTTTCTTGTGTATGATTATAAAGAATGCTCTATTTTATAACTTTTTTAAGTTTTTGAGATTGAGTCTTGCTGTCTGGCCTCAACCTTGCCATTCTCCTGAGTCAATCCCCTGGGTCCTGGAATTAAGGTCCTGTGTTCCACCTCATCCAGTTGAGTCTGGTTCTTTGGGAGGCTGAAACAGGAGGATCTCTGCAAGTTTGAGGCCATCCTGGTCTGTATAGTTTCAGCCTGAGCTACACAGTGAGACCAAAGAAAGAACCAGGTCTTAGGTCTTGGCTGTGTCGTCTTCCCACATAAGGAGCAGGTGTCCATCCTTCTGTCCGCAGAGTGTGCAGGGTTAGGGTTAGTATTTCTTAGGTCTTAGTGGGCAGTGGCTACTTAGAATAAGACTTTGAGTGCTGAAGTTGTCTGAGCTGGAGCAGAGCTCCTGCTCTGACTAAAACAGCATGCTTGTTGCTAACCTCTGCCTTTTCCCACAGAAAGTGCTTTTCTGCCCTGTAAAAGAGGCGCTGGAAGTAGATTGGAGTGGAGAGAAAGCCAAGGCCGCTCTGAAGCGCACAGCCCCAGACTACTTTCTGCTGCAAGGTGAGGCCTGGAGATGGAGCCACCCAGGCAGGCTCCAGCTTTAACTTCTGCACTGTGACCCAGTGTTGAAGCTGTCTGAATTTCTGTCTCCTCATCAGGGCAGGAGGCAGCCTTACTGAGGTCTAGTTTCTGGTCCCTCTCTACATCAGTCAGAATGACTTGTTCTCCATAGTTGCCCCTCCAGATCGGTGGTTTCAAACCCTTTCTCTTGACAAGAGTTTTGAGTTTTATCTTTTCTTTGAGTTGAGTTGTTTGCTCTTTACCTGTTGCAGTGAGGCCTCATAATAGAGCCATGCTGACTTTACTTTAGATGATCCTCCTGCCTCGGCCTCTCACATTTGCTATCTACCTGGCTTTTCCCTTACTGAAAGAGCCACAATGCAGTATATCTTTGCTGGTATTCAGGGATTTGTTTGTAAAATACTGGTTATCTTAGTGTTGTTCCTGCCCCTGACAATTTCACTTGTTAGTTTGTTTTTTGAGACGTTTCTCTGTGTAGCCCTGGCTGTCCTGGAACTCACTCTGGAGACCAGGCTGGCCTCTAACTCAGAGATCCACCTGCCTCTGCCTCCTGAGTGCTGGGATTAAAAGAATGCCCCACCACTCACTGCCTGTCTGAGGTTTAGTATTTTAAATGCTATTTTAAAAAATTATTGTTGGGAAAAATAATAATTGTTGCGACATGGTAACATGTGCCTAAAATCCTAGCGCTTGGGATTCAGACACAGGAGGATCATAAAACTGATCCAGGGCTACATAGTGAGTTTAATGACAACCTCAACTATGGGAAATGCTCAAAATCGGGAAAGGGACAGAGGGTAGGGAGTTTCAGGGGTGAACTATTTTAAAACCCTAAGTGTCCATTCATACAGAAATATTTAAGTGGGTTAAGTAGGAATGAGTGTTAGGCATGTGAGAAATGCCTCCCCTGAGGACTGTGGAGCCCTGTGTGGAAGAAGTGCCAGCTGAACTGTGAGGACCAGCACCTGCTACTCTGGTTCTCTGCAGGCCCTGTCTGGTACAGGAAGGAAGCAGTAGCCACTAGTTTGCAGCATTTGTGGGTAAGGTGAAACCCTTTGTAACAGTTGCTTATGAAGAAGCCCCCGAGTCTGACCTGGACTGTCTGTGTCTGGTAGTGTGGTTCTGGTTCTGGTGGTTAGGACTCTGCGGGGAGCATTCCTGGCATCTAGTGGGAAAAGCTGAGTGATGTCACCAAACATCCCCCCAGCAGCCCTCGGCAGAAACTGAGCCACTGGTGGAAATGTCAGTGCACGCTCTAGCCTTACACTTATAGTCCTCGCTCCGGGGTAACTGAGACAGGAGAAGTATATAACAAGTTCAAGGCTAGCATCAGAAAACCGGGAGACTGTGTCTCAAAATAATAACAAAAGGGACGTCATGTCTGAGAATGAAGTTTCTGGTTTTTTCCCCCCATCTGCCCCAGCATCGTAGTACTCTCCTAAAGTGTGTAGTGTAGATGGTCCTTAGTTTGATTTTCGTTTGTGTTCATTCATTCATTGAAGACAGGTTTCTTTTTGTAGCTCTGGCTATCCTGGAACTCCATGAGAACACCAGAGTAGCCTTCAGCTCAGATCCACCTGTCTCCTCCTCTATAGTACTGGGATTAAAGGCACATGTAAACATGTCTTAACTGTTACCTTTTATTCATTGTCTGATAAAGGCATCATAGGTAGTTCTGGCTGGCCTCAAACTCATTGTGTAGTTGAGGGTGATCTTGAACTCCTGATCTTGTGACTTTTTTCAAATAGTGGGATTATAGGCAGGCGCTGCCAAGTGGTAGTAGGGATGAGCCCAGGGCTTTAGGCACTCTAGCCTAGCGCAGGTCCCGCCCTTGGAAGTCTGGGTTGAGTCCCGTGTAGGCCTGGGTACCAAGAACATTCAGGTGCCTTCACTTAGGGAGGCAAGAGCTTCCTTTTTAGGTAGCTACCTCGCCCAGGTTGACCACCAACTTGCAGTAGTGCTTCAGCTTTCCCGGTGCTGGCATTCCAATATATGTACCATGCCTGACATTAACTGTGATGTTAATTTTGTTCTTGTAGTTGTTTGTTTGAGACAGGGTCTCACTATATATCTGTCTGTCCTGGAACTCATTAGGTTAACCAGGTTGGCTTTGAACTCACAGAGATCCACCTGCCTCTGCCTCCAGGGTGCTGGGATTAGTGACTTACAGTTCTTGAGACCCGGTGTTTTGAATCAAAACTGACCTGACTTTGTTGGTCTATTCTGTCATTTTCTGAGAGGAGTGATCCTTACATCCCTAGGGCCTACAAGTCTATTTAGTACAAATTCTGAAAGGGGCTGGAGGTATTCCTCAGTCCTGAGAGCCTTTGCCTACCATACACAAGGTCTTCGTGTTCAGTCCCTAGCAGCACAGAGAAGGGAAACTTGTGGTAGAGAGCAAAGAAGAAAAGTAACCCAGTGTGGGGCTTTATTCTTGACACCCACCACCTCATTACCTCTCCTGATGCATTCACCCTCAGCTTCTGGAGAATTTAGAACCACTGTGCAGAGTGCACACCTGAGGTTCTTACCCTACTGAGTGAGATGAGGGCGGTGTCTGGGGGGCTGGCTTGTTGGTCACTAAAGCCTGTTCCTGTTTCCATAACGCAGAACTGTCAGCTACTTCACTGCCAGTGTAAACAGCAAGCAGCCGGGTGTGGGACTCACCTAAAATCCCAGTGCTCAGGAAGCAGAGGCAAGAGGATTGCTATGACTTCCAGGCCAGCTATGCCTTTAGGAAAAAAAAAAAAAAAACCCAGTAGATTGGACAGGAAATGGATTCTTATAATAATGAAACTCTATGACAAGCTGGATGGTCTGTGTTGTATAAAACTGTGCTTGTAATTTTTTTTTGTTTTTATGGTGCTGAATATTCAACCCATGACCTTATGTTAGGCAAAGCTCTTTATCACTAAGTACATCCCCAGCCCCTCATTTTGTATGTTTTTGTTTTGTTTGTTTGTTTGTTTGTTTGTTTTGAGATGTGTTCTTAGTGGAAGCAGGCCTGGTGGCATTGGGTAGCAAATTCAGGGTGCTGCATTGTGATCCCAAGATCAGCCTAGGCAACTTAATGAAACCCTGTATCAAAACATGAACTAGAAAAGGACTGGAGGGTGCATCCCAGTGGTTAGAGTGCCTGCTGTGTCTGTGCAGCTGGCCTTAGGATCCTTGAGCAGCTTCAAAAAGAAACTAACATGCAGGGGGTGAGAACGCAGGCCTTTGATCCCAGCACTCAAGAGGCAGAGGCAGGTGAATCTCTGTGAGTTCAAGGCCAGCCTGGGCTGCAGACAGAGTTCTAGGACAGCCAGGGGTGTTACACAGAGAAACCCTGTCTCAACAAAAAGAAAGAAAGAAAGGAAAAAAAAAAAAAACTAAACAGACCATCTCTCTCAAAGAGAAAATACATGACCTAATAAATCATACCCCCGCAGAGTTGTCTGAAGTATAAAAATGTACAAAGATAAATACACAGATGAACTCATATTTCACTAGGTTATTTAGAATTCAGATTTAAGAGACTGGTCGGTTAATTTCTTCCTGTCCTCTCTTAGCTGAGTAAACAAGCTTCCCCAAAAGGCAAATTGCCCTTTTACCCCATGATGTAGGGTTTCTCTGTAGCCCTGGCTGTCCTGGAACTCGATCTGCAAACTAGGGTGGCCTCGAACTTGGAGATCCTTTGCCTCCTGAGTATATTGGGATTATAGGTGTGCACTGCCACTGCTCAACAGCAAATTGATTCCTTTACTCGAGATTCCAATCACAGTTAATGGCAAGGATGCTTAGCGTAGCCAGTATACACAGGGAAGCTGCTATGCTGCCCTGAAAAGCAAAATGAGATTAACATGCATGAGAGTTTCATGGTTGGGGGCTGGAGATGTAGGCCAGCCGTTGGGAGCACTGGCTGCTCTTAGAGAAGCCGGGTTCAGTTGCTAGTACTCACATAATGGTGCATAGCCACCTAGACTCCAGTTTCAGGCTATCCAACCCTCTTCTCATCTCCATTGTCCCAAGGAACACATGCTGCACACAGGCTGTATGCAGACAAAATGCTCATACTCAAAGTCTAAATTTTTTCCTTAATTAAACAAGAAAAAAAAAGTATTTATTAGTAACCAAACAAGAACTATAAGATACAGTTCTGTGAATATACTTATTATATTGTGCTGAGCATATACTCAGCATTGAGCTGAGGCTAGGGCTCAGTGGTAAAACACCTTCACATGTATAAAGCTCTAGCTTTGACCAAAGAAACTGCCAAAAGAAAGGGGAGTATTATATACAGTCCAGCAGAGAGCAGACCAGGTCTTTGTCCTCTGTGTCTGGATGCTCCATACAGTTTTAATTGTAGCACCTACAGAAAAGCAGGGGCGTTGACAGTTGGCTCAGGTTAACAGTGTTTGCTTCTCCTGTGGTTGTCTATAACTCCACTTCCAGGGGACCCACACCCTATCCAGTCTGGCCTCCATAGGCATTGCATTCGCACGCACGCACGCAAGGTGCAGAATGGTTCAGTGGGTAACAGCAGCTCTTATGGCCCAAGTTTGATCCCCAGAATCCACATAATGACGGAAGGAGACAACCAGTTAACAGAGATACCCTATGTCTTCTGCACATGCCCCACACAGTAATAACCAAAAAACTAAAGGAAGCAAAGACAATCGGGAACATACAGATGCTGGCATTTCGTGGCGATTAGGACTTGTCATGTGTGCCAAGAAAGCAAGGCTATGTGGAAGAGGTTGTGGGGGATGTCTAGAGAAAGATGAGTAGGCCCGTGTGTTGTGAAGAACCAGGGCCTGGGAGAAGCAGGAAGCTTGGGGTTTTATGTCTAAGCTGCTTGGTATGTGTGTGCACTTTGGTATTTTTGTTTTATTGAGGTTTTTAGTTATGTGCATGAGTCTGTAATGTGAGTGTGGAGGCCCTCAGAGGCTAGAAGAGTGTTGGATTCCCTCAAGCTGTAGTTACCAGGTGGCTTTTGA